GGTTTGGGGATATTCTATTGTTTTTTCATTTTTTACCTCCTTTCTCTCTCTCTCTAGTTTTTTATGGTGGTGTCTGGTGCTTGGAGGATAGCCATATTTATAAGTAAGAACAGTACTCTGACGACTAGACTTTCATTGCCGAGGTCAGTCTGCTAGTTGGTGACCATCCAATATTAACTCCTGATGTCGTAGGGGTAGTGGATCTGCTAGGTGGTGATGATGGTCATCCATTTCACCATACGATTTTTAGAGAATATGGAGTCCATGATTTTTGGCGCATTAAGTGGTCTTTCTTTCTTAGAATTTTTAAACTGTATTTCACCTCAGAATTCTGATTTGAAATGCAGACCTACAATAATTCAAAATTTAAAGTAACTCCACCTATAACACTTATATTGGCATCAATTCTGAGCTAGCATCTATAATTGTACGATAGAACTAAGATTTCTGTGGTAGACTGAACAGTAAAAACCCCTTCTTTCTTTTGGTTCCTGCTTTTTAACTATTTGTGGTAGATGGAACATGTTGCTGGTTGATGGATGTAAGGTGCAAGAAGATGATTACTTTTTTTGGGAATTGGGAGGGCTGGATGGGGTCATGCGTTTTGGGCTGTAATTGCATGTTTTTCCTTAGCCCAACTGGGGATCTTGGACTTTTCCATTAATGGAGGTATCTAATTCATGGGCTGGTATTTTCTTGTATCGAGCTTCAAGCCTTCAACTAGTTGGGCCCATCTTGGCATCTTGACTTATCTATGGTATAGCAAACAATCTCATATGGACCTCATTCTTTTGGCTATGTTGTTTTGGGATTCATCCTGTTCACTTTGCAAGAGACTTGCTTGTTGAGAGGAAGACATTCCTCCTTTTTGGTAATTCAGAAATTCGTGGCCATTTGCAGAGGTCTCAGAGTTCTCCTTTTCCCGCTGCTTAGATTTGCATGTTTACTTGCTTCAACAGATTGGTCTAAATGAATGGATTGGTTTCTTTTTCTCTACTCTTTGTCTTGGTCATTGTTTGGCCTTTCTTGCTAATTGTACAATCTTGATGTGTACGTATTTGAGTATTACTCAATGAATATTGCCTTACCAGGCTTCAAAAGAAATAGAAGAGTCATTTAGGTAGAAGAAAAAATATAGTTTGGGTAATTGATAGGGAAAAAGTTTTAATTAAGGAAAAAATCCCGATTAGTACCCTATACCAGGCTTCAAGTGTCATCTCATTCTCCTTATCAACCATCCAAACATTGATAAAAAATAAACAGTCCCAAAATCTTGCCTCTTCTATTCAAGAAAGTTTAGGACATGTCTCAGTGGGTATTCAAGAAGAGACAAGAATTTGGGACTGCATGTTCATCTTTTATCAATGTTTGAATGGTTGATAAAGAGAATTAGACGACACTTGAAGGACATTTGTGTCTTTTCAAATGCCATTTAACAGCTGGTTAATGGACTAGTTAACGACATGTACTAAATTGACACATTTTCAAAGTTTGGGTACTGAATTATCACATTTTAAAGTTTAGGGACCAAAGTGGCACTAGGCTACAGGGTACTAATCGGGAATTTTCCCTTTAATTAATCTAGAGAGGCTTCTTTGGATGAGCACACCAAATTTTGCTTTTAAACTGGTTTGGTCAACTTTCAAGGCATCATTATCACAAGCAAAGAGTGCTAAAAACAAAATTTTAAGAGATGTATCATGACACATGCACTTTGAAAGCACATGGTCATGGTGGATGTACACATGAATATATTAGGGGAATACATTAATCACAAAAATACCCCAATAGCAATAAATAACACATAAAAGGTACAGACTTCAATTAATAGTTTTTTTGTGAAGTATGATGATTGAGATACACTTTGGAAACATAGGTGAATGGTAAAACAATTAAAAACATTCATATGTATCTTAGGAAATCAACTTCGTTAGTGTGTGAACTTGTCTTACTGTTGGAATTAATTTAAAAAATCATTAAATACATCAGTTTGAAAATAGAAAGCAGAAGGTTGGAGGTTGATTAAGTTGCAAGTAAAAGTGCCTATTAATATTATTAATTAAGAGCCTAATTATTTATTATTATTTTTTTGATAGTTATGGAATTTCAGAAAACTAAAAGAAAAAATAATAGAGAGAAGTAGAAAGAAAAGAAAGGAAAGACTCAAAAGTAGGGGTGTAAATGGATTGAATTCGAATCGAAACAGGCAATATCCGAATTCCGATAATCAAATTTGATTTGATATCTGATGGATATTGAAATTTAATATTTGAATTCGAATTCGATTAAACATTTCAATATTCAATTCGATTTGAATTCGACCAATTAATTATTTTAGGTAATTAATAAATATATAAAATAAATATTTTATTTATAAAAGGTATATAAATAGCATATAAAATATTTAAATTTTTTTTATATTATATATAAAAATTAACTAATTGGTCAAATTCAGATATTTATCAAATCAAATCAGGTCATATCTAAATTCGAAATCCAATCTCAAATTCAAAATTGGATTTTCGAATGCCATTGGCACCCCTAGTCAAAAGGAGGAGTTAAAAGAGGAATTAAAAGTATAAGTAAAAGGTTATGGTTATTTCCTTGCAAGGAACTTTGTACAAGCCTTATTTGGGCCATACATCTCCAAAACAAATGTCTCCCATCTTATGTTTTTAATATTTGAGTGATATTTTCAGCTCAATATTACTTGCATTTTTATCTCTATTTTCTTTAAAGATCCTTGGCGGTGTAGTCTTGCACAAGGAGGGTCGTATCAGATTAACACAGTTGACACAATTTTTTTGCCAGTCTCTCACGTGATAGGCAAATATGTACCACTTCAATCAAAAGGAAGATTCTATGAGATCATTGTAAGGCTAAATATGTTAATTCTAAGAAATCATTGTAAGGCTAGAATGCATGGTAAAACTAAAAAGGAAAGAGTTATAAATGAAATCATATGGAGGAACCTAGGAATAACCTAATAGGTGTTAAATGAGAGATAGATTGATTATCTCATATATATATGAGTCAAGTTCATTTTCCTTAAGCCCTATATATCTTGTTCATAGTTGAACAATTGGTCTAGAGAATGAGCGCCTTATAAGATAGTTCACATCATTCAATTGGCAGGTTAAGTCGGGTGGTGGTCAACCCTAACCCTACCTGAGTCATTGAACCTCCAACATGCATTAACCCTAACCCAACCTAATGACTTAAGGTTTTGGGTTCAGATTGGCCTGATTTTTTCACTCTATTTTTCTAAAATTTCCTATTTTTAACGCATTATTATATGTACACAAGGGCATAGTTGTGGTATACTTCTTTTATACTATAAAGTTTTTGCCTTTAAGGGGGTGTTCTTTTTTCAAATTTTGAGAGGGGGGAAAGTTGGTCAATGGGATTTTGGTTCCCATTGACCAAGAATCCTATATTCTTTTTTCAGATTTGTGTGGTGACCAGGGAAAGTTTATTTTTCTGGGTATCATACCCATCTCCTAGGTGGGTAAATAACTTTCCCACCTATGGGGAAAGTTGCCAACACTTGAATGGGATACAAATGCCCCTTTTAATAATGGATTTTTATGGTTAAATTAGTCATTGCCTTATTTACATGAGAAATAAAAGAACATGAGTAACTGCACTTACCCGGGTAAGTGTTTCTCAGGAAAAACTTACCCAGGTAACTGCATTTACCCGGGTAAATAACTTACCGAAAAATGAACAAGGCCTAAATATAAAATTATGGTTGCATATATACTTACATGTACATGCGAGGTTCAGGTTGGGTTGGGTTGCAAGGTCGTCTCAAACTCTAACCTAGACTCAAGTAAAATTGTCTTCTTATGTTTTTAACCCTAACCCCTATTCGAACTTCTGATCAACATGTTTTTGTTTTTTGTTCTGGTTGGGTTCAAGCAACCCCCAGCCCAAGTTGCAGCCCTATATAGTGAAAACAGGTGAGCAAGTGTATAGATTGGATACCAAATCTAGCGTACTACATGGCATATCCTAAGAGAGTTGATCTAGAGTACTGTGATGCCGGAAAAACATGATACCGGAAAACCTTAAGTTGAGTAAGAAATGGGTTCAAAAAGGCCCAAGAACAGTTTGCAGGCTAGAGAGAAACAGAAAAGGAAATGATATATCATACTCTCTATTTGATAATAAGCCTGTTGAAGTTGGAACATTCTGACCCGCCAAAGGAAACGATATCATACGTCTATTGAATGGACTGACCAGTTCAGGGTTCAGACCTTTTGTGGTTTTTTATCTTTGTGGTGAACTATCTGGCCAGCTACTAGTTGGTTTTTTCCTTATGTCTGATTAGTTTAGAAGCACTGTTTACCATTTTACCTACTACATAAAGTTGAGGCTTGGGTCATTAAAGCTGAAGCCAAAATTGTACTACATTTGTTTCAACTTTCAAAGAATGGAGGAAATCCTCTTAAATATACTGTGGTTGGTTTGTATTATTACCACACTGTGTGTGGTAAAAATTTTCACGACCCAGAATCAATGTATGAGCTGGGGCATTGTTAGAAACAAAGTAATTACTGTCACCAAACCGACTGCTGTGTATTTACTCTCTCTCTCTCTCTCTATAGCTTGGGTCGGGCTCTATTCTTAGAGCTTGGATAATAAGGCCCAAGTGACCAGATGTTATGTAGATGCACTTAGTGAGACTCACAAGTCACAACCAGTTTCTCCTCTCTCTCTCTCTCTCTCTCTCTCTCTCTCTCTCTCTCTCTCTCGCTAGCTAGCTAGATTAATATTGATAACCTCTATGGTGCCTTAAGTAAGGGAGTAGCAAAACCAGAAAGAGGGTAGCATTTAACATCCCTTAAATACTCCTACCTGTCACGTACCGTTTGGTCAGTCAATCGTCTATAAAAGAAACTCAAGCACCAACTCAGGTGCTCAAGTGAAGTCCACTATCTCTTGTGTCTGTCTGTCTGTGTGCTCTGTGTTTGAGAGAGAGAGAGAGACTGAGAAAGATGGCGAGGTGGGGAGTTATGTTAGTGCTTGTTCTAACAGTTGTCAACACAACTGCTAGAAACCTACCTAATAAGGACGCTGGCCTCAACGACCAGAAGAACTTCATCAGCTTTGGTGGCGTTGGCGGCTATGCTGGCCTCGGTGGAGGGCTACCATCACTTGGTGGCGGTATTGGCGGGGTGGCCGGTGTGATGCCTATAGGCGGCGGATTTGGAGGCACCACCCCGTTGGGTGGCTTCGGTGGTGGCAGCGGCGGTGGAGCTGGTGGTGGTGGTGGCCTTCCTCTTCCTTGACTGCTTCTAACTATCTTACATGTCTGTCTTAGCTAGTATATCGTTATCTCTATTCTCTACATTGAGCTCTTAACGGTTTGTTTTGACAGTTAAATCATCAGTTAGGCGTGTGTGCAAGTGTTTTAATTGCTAGTTTGCTTATGCTTTTTGCTTTTTTTGATGTTGTCACAAGGTCTTACTTCTCATGTGATTTTCAGTCCTCTCATATTTCACAAGAAAAAGATCATCTCCATTTCCATGGCTTTCACTTTCATCTCAATCTCATTTATATATATATATATATATATATATACACAAGATCGATTTAAGATATGGGTGAATGATCTAACGATATATGGTACCGGTCCTGCGAGGTCTGTGGGCTCCATTTGATGGTGGGTCCCACCTTATCTTTATTTTGAGGTCTCCATTTGACAAGGACATGGAAATCTGAATTCTGAAACTTCCTTTAAATTTAAATACTAGTACGTGCAATTTAATTCAATATTTATAAGGATTGACTGAAAGTTGGAAGCAACTTTTAATGGGCTGAATCAGTAATGAATTGAGCCTGTCGTTGGGCTCTTTCCCACAGAGGTTGAAGCATAATATTAATGGAGGGTTGCTCTATCAACTTGGTTTCATATCCATTAATTCCACCGATATAAGACTACGTACTGCTACAGTACATTGCCTTAAAGAAGAAGAAACATATGACAACCTGCAGGCTGCAGCCACCTTGTATATATGGAATGGTGGCCCGGCCCCTTTAACGAACCAATCTAGAGATACCACTTGAAGAGTTCTACAAGAGTCCACGAAAATTCAAGCAATCTTTTGCCATTGGAAAGAAAAGAAAAGAAAAGAAAAAGAAAAAACAATATCAAAATTAAAACCCAAAACCCAGCAAAACCGGAAAACCCTATTCGAGTCAAAGTTGATTAAACCATACATCACCATTAATTTCTGTAGCAGATCTGAGTCAGATTGGAGCACCCAAATCTCCACCAATGTTCATTCATGGCCTGACTGAACAATTTGGAAGCACAGCCAACAGCCTAGACAAAATTAAACGACCCTCCACTTGGGTAGTATGTGGAAGAAAAGTCAGATGCCATTGGAGGCATATCATCAGGTCCGTGTTTGATCAGGATTACTGCCAGTGATGTGGTCATGGCAGTAGAAATGGATCATGTAGCAGAACTAAATTGCTAGCTGCTGCTGTAATCGTTGGGTTACCGATGGGAAATTGATTCTGTAGATTATCAACCGGATATGATTTAAGTTTTGTGTTTCACCCGTGTTTCCAGTCCACTGCTGGTTTAGCATGGCTGGTGGCAAAAGGTGGCAAGTTTTGAAGCATTTAGCATGGCTGGTTTATTTGGTTTAAAAGACCAAGGCTGCATTTGGCATTCTTTATTTTAAGGACTTATCTCTTTTTCACAGTTAAGATGGCCCTATGAACATTGAGTTTTTAAATGTAGAAAGGAGATAAGTTCTTAAAATCAAATAAGGAATACCAAATCGTTAAATAGTTTACTTTATCAGAAGAATGAGACCCACACTTAGGGATGCCAACTGGGTAGGGGTGAGCATGGGCCGGTTTGGTTCGATTCCATGGCAGAACCTGAAACCTACCCTATTGTGGCTCGGATTAGTCGAGGGCAACAAGGTAAATTCACTCCCAAGTTCCAAAGGCAAGCCAAAGGCTCTAAGGATTCTGAAGGGGGTAAGACAAGGCCGACGACTGTAGGCCGAGGTGAGGTGCTCCCTTCTAAGTACGGTAGGAGCCGAGGACTACAGGTCGTCGTCTCGGTAACGAGGTTCCTGGAGATCCGAAGTACTGCAAAACAAGAGGTTTCAGAGGCCTCGGGTGGAGACTCGAGGCGGAAGCTCCGACGCTCAACTTAGTACAAGGTGTGAGGTAGGAGGAGGTGCAGACGAGGCCTCGATGGTAGTCCTCGGATGCACTGGGTCCCTAGGAGTAAATGCTAAGGAAGTGAGGTAGGTGCTATAAGTAAATGAGAGAGTTGTAACAGAATTCTGGAATCTAGATCCCTTGTCAAGGGAGAGATACCTCATATTTATACTTGAGCGAGCTGGAGGCAAGTGAAGATGAACGGACCAGATGAGGGTCATACGAAGCCAGGTGACAGGTCCTTGCGAGTATGCCTAACTGCTTCGCGGTTGGCTCCGTACGAAGGTAGCAGGGCTTCCCCCCTGTTGTGGTTGGCACTGTCAGGTGTTAGTGGGTTGGGCCTAGCTATCCCACATCACTTGCCCCCCACTCCCAAGGCCGAGACGAGGCCTTGGCTTCGACTAGTAGTGGAGATGATAGCGGAGGTAAGGCCTCGGCTTCAATCATTGGGAGTAGTAGTCGTTATGGCTTCGGATACGTTAGCCGAGGGGTATCCTACAATGGCATCGCTTTCACTTCGTGTGCATCTTCCCTCCTCATCGGGTCAGAGATGCATGTGGCGTGGGTGCCTTGGATTAGCGGGGATGGTTCATATCACGTATGGTTCGGCCACGTCAGGGGTCCACCGTGTGGAGGACGGTCACCTAGATAGGCGCGCGCTTGCCGAGCTGAGCGGTCTACCCAGTGGGTCGCGATGGGTAGGCCCCATGGTTTGCCCTGCGGGTTGTAGCGGGTGAGCCTCACAGTTCACCCAGCGTCATTTCGTCTTCTGAGGGCACATGCTAAGAGGTGCGATATAGTTGGTTCGTAGAAGCGGAGAGTCCTCATGACTGTCAGATCCGTAGTGATCTGAGCCGTTGCTTGGGCATCGTTTCGGCTTTTGAGGACGAGTGCTGGGTGGTGCATTATGGTTGAATGGCGAAAGCGGAGGTGCCTTAGTCGTCGGATACAATGAGATCTAGGTCATCCATTTTCCTTTAAATAGGGGCCCTAGTGATGACTTTCCCCATCATTTGAACTTAGGCGCCCTTGTTATCGAGTCAACTCATCTCCCAAGCTCTCAATCCTTCAGGATATTCCTAGGTTCTCCATCCTTCAGGACACCCCATCTTCACCTTCTTCACTGTCTAGGTAATTCACTTTGTCGTTCTCAGACTCTGGCCCTGAATGCCATGAACTCCCAAACACCTCGGGAGGGAGCTCTCCTAAAACCCCTTCCCCTCTCTCCTCCTTAAGATCTTTGCCCAAAGCCCATCTTCGGCAGGAGGTAGCTGTATTGAGAGAAAGGGTAGCCTTGGGGGGTGCCAAGGGCTGCCGTTGGGGCAATAACTCTCCCCATGAAAGCGTCGCTTCGGCATCGCCGAGGGAGCCCAAAGGGTCTCCACTCTCTGAGGAGGAAGATGTTGTAGAGATTGCCGCTAGACTGGTGGGAGGGAGTGCTGCCCAAAGGGTAGCTGATGCAAGTGTTCCACACTCGGAGTTTGACAGCTGTGGACCCCAAGGAGGGGGAAATCTGGGTCTACCAGCATTTTTTAGAGTCTGGCCTTAAGTTTCCCCTCCCTTCCTTAATCTCTGAGTTATAGGAATGGTACGGTATCACTATTAGTCAAATCATCCCCAATTCCCTTAGGACCATCATAGCAATGCTAGTGTGGGCTCAGTTTCGGGGTGTGGAGTTGACATCGAGAATGTTCTGCCCCATGTTCGCGCCGAGGAAGCATGTTTACGAGACCAACATGTATTACTTCCACCCCAGAGAGGGAAGTCGGTGCACAACCCCTTGTTCGTCCATGGGTGGAAGGATAAGTTCTTTTACGTCTCCTGCCCCAAATGCTAGAGTTTCAGGTCTGACTGGGGGGAGGCCTACATAGTCATCGAGAGATGTCCCCCTCTGTTTCGAGATGAAGAGGCTACTGCCGTAGCTCACCTGCTTGTGATGGAGACATTCCAGGTGAAGTCGTTGGTGGAGGAGGAGGTCCCCCGAGTGTTTGTTGGGATTAGCCTTGCCCCCCCCGGTAGGAGAGTTTTGTAGTTACTTAGCACACCTTCAACATCTTTGCCTTGTTATACTGACCGTTTTCTTTTGTTGTTCACAGAAGTGCCAATGGATGCCAAGCAACGATGAAGGCCTGGGCAAAGCAAGTCGAGAAGAAGGTCAGGGGACAGACGCCAAAGCGGCCCGGCAAAGAGGTTGCCCCCTGTCTCGGGGAAGAGGAGAACTCGGCAGGTCCCCGCCAAGGGGAAGCAACCAATGGGGGCACCCCAAGAGCTTGCCAGTGGGGTGAAGAGGCCCTCGGAGGGGGCCAAGAAGACATCAGAGGCGTCGAAGAAACCAGTCGAGGGGGTCGTGGTGCCGAAGAGGCCCACAGGTGGGGCTGAGGCGGGTCAGAAGAAGCTCGCCATAGATACGCCATGGGAGGAGCTGCCGCGGAAAGTGGACAATGTGGAGCGCCAGGCAGAGGAGGTGGTGAGGAGGTCCACACCTGGGGAGTGCCCATCCGGGCCTTCTTCAGCTCCACCATCAGTACAAGGGCTCCCCGAGAGAGCCGAGCGGGCCAATAAAATCTTCCATCCACAATGGCAGCTCTGAGAAGGGGACTCCATCCAGGATAAGGGGATCAGCTAGGCCCTAGTGAGCGGGGCAATCTTGCCGAGGGACCGCTATCGTTTGTTGCACAGTGACCCCAAGGTCATCTACGATGAGGGCCTATACTACCTGGTCATGGTAAGACACATACATTTTTGTTTTATGTATTTCCTTCTCTTCCTACTCTTTCAGTCATTAACTGGTTCTATTGCAGGCCTGCCTGCACTTCGTCGGTTTGGGGAACCGAACGAGGCTGGCGATGTTCCGCATTGATAAGGTGGAGAAGGAGAAGAAGTCCGTCGAGGAGAAGCTCTAGAAGGAATGAGAAAAGTTCCAAAAGACAGTTGCTGCCACCGAGGAAAAATACCAAAAGTTTATGAAGGCGTTCTTGGACAAGCAGTCCATCCGGGAGTGCCTCAAAATACAGCTAAAGGAGGCGTGGCAAGGTCTTTCCAAGGAATAGGTGGAAAGAGTCTGGCTGGAGAGGCACGAGGAACTTTTTGGAGCTGAGGCTGT